GGGATTATGGTATGGATATGAATACTTTCCTTTGAAGCAGATTTTCATATATTGATACAGTTTAAGGTCAATTTTGTGATATGTATATTTCTCCTCTTGTTTAGATATTGTGTTTATATAGCTCATTTAGAAATATAATATATAATTTAGCAAAGATTATAGATAGTTACCTATGATAGTCAAAACTTAGACTTAAGTTAGTTAGGTTTTCAAGATGTATTTAAGATGTATTTGAGATGGATAGGCATTCTTCAAACCTTTCAAAGACCTACAGAATATGGTATTTAAAATGGTTTAGGGTTTTACTTGACAGTGAGACATAACTGTTCCTGGCAACACCACCTACATCAGAAAGGAAGATGGACATTGAAGAAATGCATTATAAAGTTTGCTTTCAATATGACAAGCCATTTGGGCAAGATACTGTTCTTGTCTGTTTAACTTTATGCTGTATAAACTAGACATGCAGGACCCACAGAAAAGTGACTGCTGATTCAAGATGGACATTGCTACAGGGTTCCTGCTTCATGGAAGAGTCTGCCAGACAGACTACAGGACACAGAGAAAAGTGACTGACAAACTGCCAACACAGATGGACAGTTTAAAGTTTCCTACTCTGCTCCTCCTGGAAGGTACCACCCTCCCTGTGGAGTGGGGTGGGGGAATGGGATGGGAGGGTGGTTGGGGGGCATGGAAGGGAGGGAGAGAGGGAGAGAGGGAGGGAAGAAGGAAGGAGAGAGGGAGAGGGAACTGGGATCTATATGTAAAATAAGGAAAAAAAGTTACCTACTCTGCTGAGGAGTCTGCCAAGCACACTATGGCTGAAGATGGAACATTACAGAAGAACTTCGGGTGACTGATAGGTAGCTAGATGTCTCTGTCATTTCTAAAGTTTATATATTATCTTTCTGTGGTCTTTGAAGGAGTTGAAGACAGATAGTTATGGTTATAGTTTTCCTTAGTTAGGATTAAAGATAAGTTACATATAAAACTTTAGACTCACAAAGACAGGATAGATAATGGAATATTTTCTTTAAATCTTGCTAAATGTTAATGAACTAAATATTGTTATCTGTGGTTCTTGTTTGATAACTGTTTTGGTATATATTTTGCTATGTTTTTTATTTTAGACCGAAAAGAGGAGATGATGAGAGATGTCATTCTGTAAATATGTTTCTCTTATTGGTTAGTGAATACAGCCCTGTTGGCCAATAGGAAAGGAAGACAGGCAGAACTAGGAGACAAGGGTTCGGGGAGAAGTAGGAGGATATTCAACATGTAGGACCAAGAGAAAACCCTGGACACTCTCTCCGGTAAGATAAGACCATGTGGAAATATTTAGAAATGGTTTAATATTTAAGACAGAGCTAGCCAATAAGAAATGTTAGTAACAGGCCATCAGCTTTATATCTAATACAGCATCTCTGTGTGTTATTTGGGGCTGGCGCAGCTGTGGGACCAGGCTGGTGGGAAAACCTGATCGTAACAAATGGGGCCAGTTTTATCTATCTACCTACCTTTATGTGGGTTCTGGGGACCAAACTCTGATAGCAAGCCTCTTTATCCCATGAGCCATCTCACCAGGTTGGTATTGTTTTTATTTAGTTTTGAGTCAAAGTCTTGGTATGTAGCCCAGGATAGCCTCACACTGCCCCCCCACACGTAGGGCTTGGGTTCTCCCTCCAGAATTCACATAAGACCTTATTGAGAGTCTGAAGATTCCTGAGGCAAATTTCAAAAGCTCTAAGCCATTTGCATGTGTTTAGTTTTCCCCTAGACTTTAGACTCAACTTGTCAAGTTCTAAGGTTCAAGGAAGGTAGGTTTTGAATTTGACAGGCATTCTGTTTGGAGGTTATTTGGACAATAATTCATTTCTGTACAACACATATTCAGCTTCCTCGTTCTGTAACAGGACATCTTTATATTTCTGTAGGCCTTATTTTTATGTTAGCCAGTAAAAAGCCTATTGTTCTCCTCATGTGGATTCCTATTTCTTATTAAACTTATTCATGGGCATTCTGCAATGTCATTACTGTGGAGGCATCGGTCTTCTGTGTCTGTTTCTAATCCTAATATGAGGTGTGGCTATGTAGCCCAGGCTGGTCTTGAACTTTATCCTCCTGTGTCCAGACAGAGCTTACAAGTGTACAGCAACACATATGGACACCATTTTCTAGCATAGAATTTTCAGTTGCATAGAAATGACTTTGGCAGCTGGGCATCAGTGACATGCACCTTTAATTCTAGCTCTTGGGAGGCAGAGGCAGGTGGATCTCTGTGAGTCTACAAAGCTACACAGAGAAACCCTATCTTGAAGAAGGAGGAGGAGGAGGAAGAAGAAGAAGAAAAAGAAGGGGAGAAGGTAAGAAAAGAAAAGAAGAAATAAATGACTTTGGCTTTTACCAATATAACTGCTACTCGGCTACCCAAGGAAATTCACCCACCTCCTCTAATGGTTTCCCCGTGATTCTCTTTCTTGTCTTTTTTTTTAAATAATTTATTTTTATTTTATGTGCATTCATGTTTTGTCTACATGTATGTCTGTGTGAGGGTGTATGATCCCCTGGAACTGGAGTTACAGATAATTGTGAGCTGCCATGTGGGTGGTGGGTATTGAACCCGGGCCTCTGGAAGAGTAGTTGGTGCTCTTACTTGCTGAGCCATCTCTCCAGCCCCTCTCTTCCATTTCTTAATAACTGCTTGCTTCATTTGCAGTATTTTGAAAATTTTATGTCCTCCTTCCTCTTACTCACACCCTATCTCTTCCTTCTTTCTTTCCCCCCTTTTTTTTTCTTACCTTAAAAAATCTTTTATTACATTTAGTTATTTATTTGGGGGAGGGAAGAAGCTTCATGCCACAATATTTGTGTAAAGGTCAAAGGACGCTTTTCAGAAGTCAGTCAACATCTCTCATGACAAAGTCCCAGGGACTGAGCTCAGGTCTTTGGGCTTGGCTGCAGGTGCCTTTACTGGCTTTTTTTTAGGTATTCCCCCCTGAACTGGACAGCCATGGTGGTGGAGGTCCACTCATAACCTTCCTGGCTTTCTGTTCCTAAAATGTCTCTACAGCAATACTTTGTGAATCTAGAAAAGACAGTCAGTCCTGGATACATCAGGCAGAGCAACAGTTCCCAAACATACAAGACAATCTCAACAACTGTCCCTTCTCTGTGAAACTCCATTCACTGTTACCTAAAGAAACAGGGCTCCCCTTAAAGCAGCTCCCCTTGAGGAAAAGGCCACTTGCCAGTCCTAGAGAAAGGTGAATTGACTCAGATCCACAGTCCTAATCCCAGAAATCAAATCCTCTTCCAAAGCTGGTGTACAAACATGCCTAAGTCCCCCTGCACCTCAGGGTTTGGTATAGGGAAGGGAGATGCATTTTATTGACCATCAGCTCTCCCCCGTGGGTTGTCATGGGAACTGTGAATATTTTTAACCCTTCCCATCCTCTTGTTAACAGATGAGAAGGTGGGACTTGAGGTTCAAGTATGGAAGATCACACAGCTAACCATCACATACAAATGAGCCCATTGAGCCAGACATGGTGGACCATGCCTGTGATGCCACAGCTCAGAGAGTTCTAGGCTACAGTGTAAGACAGTCTCAAAAAACCACGAGATGGCTACACAGTCAGCCACTGTCAGCACCTTTCCACTGAGCTCTGCATGGCCTCCACCGAGATCAAGACACCTCCAAATGTTTTATCTATTGGTGTGTGTGTGTGTGTGTGTGTGTGTGTGTGTGTGTGTGTACATGTGCATGGGTGCACTCACCTGTGTTGTGTGGGGGCCAGAGATCAGTGTCACAGGTCTTTCTGATTCTCTCTCCACCTTATTTTTTGAGACAAGGTCTCTCACTGAACCTGGAACTTGCTGTTTTGACTAAACTAACTGGCTAGGTAATCTGCTGTCTTCCCTAGGTTATGATGTGCCCTGCCAGGCCTGGCTTTTACATGGGTGCCGGGAACCCAGACTCAAGTCCTCCTGCCTCCATTTCACTCTGACCCAAAATGTCTTCAAGTGTTTTCAGTCCATTCATGCTTGTGCCACAAGACCTGAACCACCCTCCAGCCATGATCACACTGTCTTTAGAGGGAGAGACTGTTAGTGGGAAGAGCAGGCCTGCTGTACCCTCGGGCCAGAAACTATGTCCCAGGCCCCACAAAGCAGTAGCTTTACCATTCCCCCCCAGCCCTTAGCTCCAGGAAGAGGTACAATTAGGCAGAGAGGCTGGACAAGAGGAGGGAAAGAACGTAGAGGAAGGCTGGGGACATGAAACATAAATGGGGCTGAAAAGGCTGTGGAGGAGCAAGGACAGGCCCCAGGCCTAATGCAGGTAGGAGCCATGGTGGTCAGTTCCTATACCCACCAGGCACAGTGCCCCCACTGTAGACCCCGAGGGGCTGGGACCCGGCGGCCACTCAGATATTTCCATCGTGTAGATCATGAGGAGGGACTGTGGGGGTGATGACACAGGACGAGGCAGCCTCCATCTCCTCCCACACCTATCCATGGGGCGGGATGATCCAGAGCAGAGATACATGGCTATAAATTCATAGCCGACACATAGCAGTGAGATACAGGCTTAGGTACAGGGATAAGAGCCAGAGAGGCACAGACATCAGGGAAGACATAGATGCTAACAGATCTATGGAGAAACGAGCAGAGGAAGTCTACAGACATGTAGAGGAAGTCACACGTGGACTTGGGGGTGCATAATCCCTACACATAAGGAGTCAGAGGTAATATGACAGGCAGATGAGGCAACCCTGTAGATACATCCCAGAAAGCACTGGGTCCTTGAGGGGTCCCAGTCACTGCTGGTCCACGCTGTGCCTCAGGGGACTCAGTGCTGCAACCGTGTACCACTTTCCAGAATCCCCTCACCAGCTCCATGAACACACATGTGGTGGCTGGGCTCTCCTGACACACAGGTGCATGTCTCAACAGGCCTGGGCCCCACCCGTGGGGGCTGACATCTCTGTTCTGGGGTGCAGGTGGGGGCCACAGAACCACCCCCTCCCCCGCAAGCCACAGGCTATGCCCGCTGGCAGGGACTGGGGGCCCTGGCCTGGTACAGGAGGGGAGGGCTGGGGGGCCGGGCGCGGCCAGGGCGGGCACAGGAGCCAGTACCTGTCAAACAAGAGCCAAGGAGCAAACTAGCTTCTTAGTCACCTTTCTCTTCTCCCCGTTTTTGGCAGCAACCCCTCGGGGCAAGGGGAAGCTGATATCATAATTATTGGCTCACCCAGCAGCTGCCTCCCCTCACCTGATGTCAGCGCAGACCCAGGACAACCAGGCTGACGGACTGACAGACAGTCGGAGCTCCTGGGCCCCTAGACCCAGGCCCCCACGCCGACCTGCTTCACTGAGCAGGTAAGAGGAGACCTGGCCCAAGTCAGCCGTGGAGGCCAGTAGGGGAGAGGGCTTGGCTTTTTAATGGGCTGCAGAAGTCCCTCCTCAGCGTCTCACTGTCTTTCAAGGGAGGCTCAGGATCAGGGTGAGTGCCTGGAGGCTGAGGCGGACTCCTCCTCCACACTCCTTTCTCTCTTTTTCTTGGCCCAGGGTCTTCCGACTTCGATCCTTCTTGCTGTAGTGTAAGACTCTGTCCTGCTGTGCATGGTGGCTCTGTGTGGTGGCACTCACACTGGGCTGGGAAGCAATAATGACTCCAGCTGGAAAGCTAGAGCCCAAAGACAAACAGGCAGATTCCCAGCCAAGGACTGCCAGGCTGTTTGGGTGGGAAGCGGGGCACCCGGCTCTGGCGACTTATGCCATCTTTCTGGGATGCCTGGGCTGGGTCTGCATGTTCCATATTCTGTGGGGAAGCTTGGCTTGCAGATAGGAGAATGTTGCACCTGGTGCAGAAACAGACAGGTGGCAACAGGTGCTGTGGCTAGGAGCCGATGCTGAGCTGGAGCACACATCTCTGAGGGCTGGAGACATTCCTCTGCCTCAAGACCCCTGCAGTAGAGAGGAGCAGACCAGAGACAGGCAGAGAGATCACAGATGCCCCCCAACCTAGAACTGGGGTATTTAGGGAGTAAAGGTCCTCAAGGAGCAGCCAAAAGCCCCTCTGGCTGCTGAGACTTCCGTCTGCCCCCTTCCTAGCCAGGCAAAGTCCTGGGATTTGCTGTGGAGCCCCCCCAGTTCTCCTTCAGGGTCCCAAAAAGCAGGTTGGGTTAAGGCTAGAGTAATAAGTGGGCGTGTTTGCCTCTCTGCTCTGCACCTACAGGCTCAGGGGACATGTCTGGGTATGTGCAGTGGCAGGGCACAGTTGCTCAGCAAGAAAGGACCAGATGGAGGAGATGCCTCCCCCCCCCCCCCCGGGACACCATCGTCCCCTACTTCTGTCCCCTACTTCTGTGCTGGGCAGGTCCCACACCAGACAAAGCTTGGCCCTCTCTGTTTTCCAATCCCTTCAGGAAGAGATTTGATGGGTTCACTCATAGCTTCTCTAAAGTCTCTACTGCTGCAGGGTCTGGCTCTACCTTCCCCGTGTCCTTCTCTTTCTCCTACTGATGAAACCCTGTTCCCCTGACTTGATTGATGAGCCTTGCGGGTAGAGAGGGTGGCAGTGAACTCTAGACTTATCCCACAGGGCTTGGGGAGAGTCCCTTCCTATCCTGACCCACAGACAGGACAGGATGCTGGTAGTATAAGTGGACAGCCCAGTGATGCGTTGGGGCCGCCCATCCTGCCTGGCTCTTCTCTGTTGTGGCTCTGTGAAGGGCCAAGCTAGGGCAGAGCTGAGCTGGGTCCTGGGGAAGAACAGAGGGGCCAGGTGCTGCCCTCAGTTCAGGAGGACCTCCAGGGTGAAGATGCCACAGGAGGAGCACTTGCCCTCCCAGGTCTCTGCCCGGCCCCACCCGGGCAGCCTTTGCGGAGCTCAGCTCTCGGCTGGGAGGCCTGCTGAGGCACGCTGCACCCCCAGGCCTCCTGCCTCACTCCAGGCCAGGAACCTGTTCTCCCAGGAATGCCAGGGAGTTCTCAGAGGACTTTAGTTCCCAGGGGTTTAGGGAGCCCAGAAATTCTCTGGACCAGCGAGTGAGCCTTGGAAAAGCAAGGGAATGGAAAGATTAGGGTCATGGGCGTCCATTGCTCTCTCCATCTGTGCCTATCCACACAGAGAGTCACACTTCCTCCAACTGACAGCTTTATTGCTCTTCATGAGAAAGAAACCTTGGGACAGTTAAAGGCAAAAGAAAAAGCCCCTCTTGGACACACTTTCTGTCACATGCATCCTTTGCTCCAGGGAAAGCCTTCCTTTGGCCCCCATGGAAAGTCCCTTCTGCCCTGGAAGAAAGTTACAGGGCATTATCACACTTGGACCCCCCCAGCTCCCAGCCAGGGAGTCTTTTCTGCTGTCTAACACCCACCCCTCTTCTCGCTCGCTTTGAGCCTGGTCTTCATGGACCAGAACTCACCACTGCCTGCCCTGAGTCTACACATACAGCTAGAGCCTATTCCTCAGACACGTATAAAAGTTCTGGAAATGTCAATGCCTGCTGCCCTCTGTCATCCTCTCCAGCACCATATTCTGACCAAACTGGGGTCACATCTGTGTTTTTTTGAGGCAGGATCTCCCTATCTAGCCCAGGCTAGCCTTGAACGGAGGACAGAGGCCACCATCCCTATTGCAGCCTGCCAGGTTCCCAGAATGGAAGACTGACTTCAGGGAGATTGTTCAGCACTTTAAATTGCATTGTGCCATCCCATGTAACTCTAGCAGGTGGTTTCCGGGGGAGGGCAGGCGAGCATTGATCTGGGGTGAATGGGTGGAATGGGGCTGGCAACATGCTCGGAGCAGGAGGAAGATATGCTGACCTTGGAGAGAGCGTATCCCAGAAGCACCCATCAAGTGATCCCTGAGTAGGTTGGATCCCTCTCCCTTCCAGCCTGCCTTGGTCCTTGCCTCCTTTCTCATCCCAGCCCTAAATCCATTCCCTTTTACCAGCTCTCCTTATGCACTCCAGGCTTGATTTGAGCTGGACTTGAGTCTCCTGAGCGCTGGGATTACAGGTGCAGCCATGACACCTGGTCCTCCCATATTTCCACTTGCAGCCACAGCTCAGCACCCTTCCTTTCTACCTTTTCTCCCCATCCTCAACTTTGCCAGTCTCTACAATCCCATCTCCCTCCAACTCCCACTCCTTATTTCTTACTCGCCTCCCCAGCTCCTCCCACTCTCTCCCTGAGCCCCATGATCCCACCAGGATGGTTGGGCATAAACCCCCTAGGAGTCTAGAACTTCTCCCAGTATCCCCTACTTTATTCCCTTAGGACTGAGGATCCCAGAGCCATGCCCCAGAGACAAATGGATGGTACAGGATCATCCCTAGAGAAGCACGTAGCTTCCTGGTCCCATGTGGGTCTTAAAAACTGGATGCTAGCAGGCAGTAAAATGGAGTTCTGCTAGAGTACAGCTTTACAGGCCCGAGGTCCTTGGCTTCCCCAATATAAAAACAAAACCGTGTAAGTGAGTTCAGATACAAGATGAGTGAGGCCTGGATACTGCAGCTGCATAGCAAACTAAGAGAGGAGGGCTGGGAACATGACTGATCCTGTCAGGGATGGCCAGGCCAAGGCAAGATGGACAGAAGCTGAAGCAAAGCTGGCTGGGTTGTTTAGGAATGACTGCCACTGTCATGAGTATCCCCCAGTCTCTACCCCGCCTGTCGCTCTTGCTTAGTCAGCTCAGATTAATGGGACTGAGAAAGAATTAGCTGAATCGTGATCTCTGGGGGAACTGGAGCCTGCTGTGAGTCACAGGGAAAGGAACCTGAGCTTTCAGGGATATTCTGGAAGCTCTCTGGGTGTGTGTGGGGGGAGGGAGTTTACCCCTCGAGACACTTCCTCTCTGAGATGCTACACGGAGCCCGCTGGGAGGCACAGCCCTGACCCTCTACCCCAAGCTTGCAGAACAATGTGTGTTCATGTTCAGCCAGCTACCAACTCTGCCCTCGCAAACACTCCATGGGCCTTCAGTGTTCCCTGAAACCACTATTTCTGACAGACTATAGGCAGTCTAGGCACCAACACATAGTCGGTTTAAGTGGCACCAACACACACTCCAGTCAGTATACTCTCAGACACCAAGAACAGGGCGTGTCCCTGGAACTGGATCGCCTGCAGACAGATGGAAGTCCCACCTACACTTGTAAATTCCACAGCCATGTCCCAGGTTGCACCAGCCTATCAGGTTCAGAGACATAGGATGTGAACAAGGATGAACACACACACACACCACTGTGATGTAAAGACCCAGTTATCATATTTGTCCACCCCCCCCCAGCACACAGCGGAAGGAACTACAACAATGTAGAAGGGGTCCTAGAGTCTACCCTGGGCACCTACAGAACAAGTTACTTAGAAAAGTGTCTCTGTAATCCCAGCACTGGGCAGGCTGAGGCAGAAGGATTGCTGTGAGTCTGAAGCCAGTCTACACAGTCTGTGTGGACTGTGTGGACATAGTGAGTTTGAAGTTGACTTGGAATCCACTTGTGAGACCATGTCAAAAAGAAAGAAGGAAAACAAGAAAAAAGAAAGGAGAAAAAGATAGCCTGAACTTTGATGGCTCTCTCTATGCCTATATGCAAGATGCCTAGAGGTGGAGGGAGGAGGGCAAAAGAGGAGGTTTGGGGGGGTGTAGAGAGTGAGTCTCAAGGGAGAAAGGTGGAGGCTGGAATTAAGCAGCTAGAGCAGCTCAGAAAGCCCTTCCAAGCCTGTCACCTCTCCAAAGGCATGGTGGGATCTCAGAGCCAGCCCAGCGTGGTCCAGGCACCCAGAGGAAGAAGTGGCATGTACAACACACCTGCCTAGGAAATAATCCCTAGACCAACATGGCAGTGCAGGCCTCTAATCCCAGCTACTCAGGAGGCTGAGGCAAGAGGATAGCATGTTCAAGGCCTACCTGGGCCACATAGTGAGTTCAAAGCCAACTCAGGTAATTTAGTGACTCGGACCTTGTCTCAATTTTTTAAAAAAGAACTCGGTCTAAAGCTCATGGATAAAGCACTTGTGTAGCTTGGTTAAGACTGATGTTCAGTCCTCAGTACCACAAAACCAAACAAAGCCATTCTTCTTGGTGGGACTTGAGTACTCCCATCTGTCACACAGAAAGAGCCTTAGATGACCCATCTTCCAATGGGTTTCTCTCTCCATGGTTCATGCTTTGGAGCAGATGGCAGCCAGCCTGCTTTTTGCTTGAATGTGAGGGCAGGAAGTGTGCCAGCAGCATAGGTTCACCTTATACTGAATCAGTGTTATTAGCAGTCGTGGCAGGATTAATGTCCTTAATAATATTGGTGATAATGAGCAGTGCTGGTAATAATATGTACAGAGAGGGGCCCCTGACCTGGGGACAGTGGAATCCTGGGCTACCTGAGTCCCCTACTTAGGTAAGCAGGTAAAAGGCAGCAACATCCCAAGCTCTCGTGCAGTGCTCTGGTTCCCTGGGATCCCAGGAGAGGAGGCAAAAATGTTGGCTACTTCTCCATGGTTCTCCCCTGGTCCTAGGGACACTGGGGGAAGAATGCAAGGCCAGAATGAAGTTACTGTTTCACAAAGCAGGAACTGACCTTCATGCCAGTCACT